AAGATAAGATATTCATGGTTTTGTTTCACTAACCTTCTATTTTTTCCCCAAGTCCTTTGAGCACTCTGTTTCCTTTGCCCTTCTGTCTTGCATCTTCATCTCCTCAAGATTGGTGATGATTGGCCCTTCATTCTCAGCAACAACCCCAATTTTTTTTGCAAAATCCCACAAATCTTCGACAATTCTTTGACTGGGATGTTCCTTCAGTAATCTATTGCAATTCTGTATACCACTATCTCCCACAGAACCCCTTGCAATTGAGTTACTTATTCTCGGCAAAAGCCTTGGAATTTGTTCTCTCCATGCTTCCTTCACTTTTTCTCTGGCTCTGTTCTTCTTTCTTTGACCCATTAATCATTGGAGACTTGCTTTTTGGTACACAGATTTGCAAAATTTTGCTCTCTTCTTTCTCCTTTTTTTGCCAACTTTGTTTCTTGCTACCATCCACCCTTTTTCACTTCCTTCTTCGCTTTCTAGGTCTGCTTAGAACTCTCTGTTGTTTCCTGATGGATCCCCTATTTCGCTTTCCTTTCTTTTTGTTGTAGATTTTGCATTTTAGATCTATGTTCAATCCTAGACTCATTTTTTGTGCTTTTGTTGCAATCCTTCGGTTCACCGGTCTAGTTCTCCTTCACCTCTCTTGTTTCACCTTTATGGGCTTGGCATGGGGCCTCTGAAGTGGGCTCATCCTGCAAGCCCAAATCATTACCAGTCGAACTTTCTATAAGGTCTGTGGTCATTTCTTTTTGTGGCCTATTTTCATAAAACCTACCCTCTATTCTACCTCCCAAATCACTAGCTCTTAGAAACATATCAAAACTGTCAGCTACTACCTCTACTAATTCTTCTTCTCCCAACCGGCTATAGGGAAAGCTGTCCACCAGTTTGTATCCTCTCACATCACATCCTTCTTCTTCAAATTCAAATTCTACCTCGTTATGTGGCGTGGTAGTCGACCATTTATTAGTTTGACTTAATTCCCTATTTTCTCCTTCTTCTCCTTCTTTGCCGACGGGCGGTTCCAGGTCAGCATCCCAGTCATCTTCTTCACGTTGGATCTCCAATTCATTGCAATTCGACCAAGATTCTTCATAATCTGAATCAATGTTGAACCATGAACTTCAAATCATACATGATTCCATTAACTTTGATTCTTTGCTTAATTGATATTAAATCCATAATTTGCATGGATATCAGGAACCTAGCCACATCAAACCTTCTTTTCCTGCTTGTGTTGTCATCCAGGCAAACAAATTTTCCCCATGTCACTGCCAGTGACTCGAAAAACTCCGGCCCCTGAGCATGTAGTGGGGTGCCCTGGCATCTCATCCCTACAAATCTTTCTTTTGCCACTACTGTAGGTGTCCAGGGCTGAATATCTATGAACCATTGGCCTAGCTAGTCCGCAGCCCCCTGTACTAACTCTTTTAGTTCCTCCTTATCCTCACAGTCCATTAATACCAGCTTCCCCCCCATAGCTTGGAGTTGACATGAGAAATAACCTTCCATATAAAGCTTTTCTTGTAGATTCGGGATAATTTCTATAAAGCGGGTTGTCCAACATAACATCCACGTAGCCACTCATAGTCTTCTTCCTTGACATTGTACTCAATACCTGACCACTCCACATCTCAGTTCTTCCTTCTCCATGTCTGCCGTTGTTGAGGTTGTCTGTGTACCTGTGTTCTTCTATCATCTTTATAAATGCAAGTTAGCCTTTTCTCCATTGGATGGTCCTCTAATCTCCAAGAATTCTTTTCCTGCTATCCTCTGACTGCATTAGCATAAGTTTTCCCATGAACAACTGAGTTTGTGTTTGTTGTTCTCCTAATCTCCCTAGACTCAATTTCCTCCACCGGCTATTTGGCTAAATTTACCCAGATTTTGTGACCTTCAATCCGAATATGATCTAGTTGGTTCTCCATGGCCCTCGCATTCTCTACCTCTAGGAACCTAACAAACCCATATCTCCTGCCATTTTTGCTTCTTCTCTGAGGACTGTAGATAGCATACACCCTACTGAATTTCCCAAAGGTCCACCACATTTCTGAGTAGCTCCAATTGTCGGGGAAATTGGTAAAGAAGAAAATCGTAGCCTACTTGTATAACCCCTTGTCATATCCCCATTCCATATTCATTTGCTTTTGTCTACTCTGTCCTCCATGCTTTGTGCCCTCCGTCCCCCATTGTCACTTACTATCTCTTGGTCGTTCATACTCTTTGTTCAGTGCCTTCTATCTAACCCATGGTTGCTGTTCGGTGCCTGCATCCCTACTTCTCTCTCTACCTATTTCTCTCATTCTCACTCTTTTTTACCTTAACTCAAAAGTGTTTTTTTTTTTTTTTTTAAAGGTAAAAAAGATTATATTTTTTAGTATAAGGGATACTCAAACCCATTTACATCAAAAAAGCATACTCTGACTCAAACATTGCCTTGCCAATTGATGGCATATTGTATGGTCCCTTAAGAGATTTTACAACCGTTGGGATTTAGAATCCAATCTAAAAAAGTAAAACTTCCTCCTTTCCCTATATTTTTTATCCACAAAAAAGACCTCACTTGTATTTGATCAAACATCCGATCCACATTCGCATGGCCCCCTTAACTCAAAACTGTTTTTTGTATCCATTTTTAAAAATTTTATAGTTCTTTTTCTAATCATATTCTTGTATTGTTATTTTTATATTTTTGTGTTGATATATATTTGTAATTCGTGCCACTCCATCTACAGTTTCGGGCTGCACCACTGGGACGGAGTTGATGTTGTCGGGCGCTAGTGGTTGGTTTTATGATTGCTGCAAAGGTGTGGGCGGATATTACATATGTTCACTTACAATTTTGTGGGTTGGAGTACCCTAACT